TTAGGCAATATAGGTATATACTAAGTTTCAGTCTTTCTAGTGTTAAGTCAAGGAGCCATTTTATATTAAATCTTTTCGATGGCTTGTATATAATTCTTATAATAGCAAAAACCAGACTGGGAAGGTTGTCAAATGATGCAAACTCGTCAAGCTCACAGTTACGACTGTGAGCCTTGATTACTAGCCACAGTTCAGGCGTTGCTTAAATAAATACCTTGAACATGCCAACAAAGGGATAAACTAAGGGCGGAGGGTAGACGGCCTGCCTCTCCTCTCGAAGTAGCTCGTTTCCGCTTGCCTGGATTCCCATCACCGAGAACAACGACAGCAGAGTCAATCTCCAAGGCATCCGAACGAAGGTCTCTCAGTTATATCTTTCGACAAAGGGTCTAATTGCAAACTTCGTTCAAAAGTCAGTACTCCCCAGTTTCTCCCTTAAAGACAGCGAATCCTGTCGCGGTCAAAGGGTTCACCTTCGATCCCAAAAGTTAATTTCGAAATATACGCGACTAACGCGAAACAGGCAGTTCTCCGAGTTCTCGAAATTAACGCGTGATCCGTCGGCTCGAAGCTGCCACGCTCGACTGTAACCAGCTGGACCGGCTGATTTTCCATCCTTGCCGGGCGATCCTCTCCGTCTCGAACCCGACGAGTCGATAATAAGTTGAGAAAACAAACGCGTGAGTTCATTAGTGCGATTCTCATAAACTCGGATGAACGTCCGAGAGCGACCGCGGCAACTTCTGAATAAATAGCTGCGGGACTGCTTGTTTCGGCGAACGCTCGATACTTGTCGCTTTCAGGGACGCCCGCTGTCATATGTGCCAGAGACAAATAAATTGCTGAGACATTGTAAATACACTGGATATCGTCCGGTTGCTGAAATTCATCGGTAATAAAAATAGTTCTCGAGAAGCTTTCAAGTATTCCTGATCTCTGCTGATGTCTGCTATCGATCAAGATCAGAATCTGACGCATTAATCTTGATTAGGATAAAACTCCTCCGTTCGAGGCTCGCGAGCTCAAACATCCATAAAATTCCGAACCGTCGAAAGAACGCGAAATGATGAATTCGAAGAACTTTCGAGGATAAAAATAAATTTACGTTCGTACAAAAGAAATCTGATAATAAATCGTTAAATCGTAATCGTGTAACGAAAGCTGTTCCGGTAATTATTAGAAACGAACTCCTGAGACTCCGGACGGTTTATCACGAATTACTAGGTGTAGTGTACGAAAAATGGAGGAAGCTTTCCGCGAGAGACACGCAGAGCTTTCTGGGGCAACGTGGCAGCTCTTACAACGAAATTTACTTAGCACCGTTCCTCGTCGCTGTCGAAACCCCTCTGTAATAAATTCTCTTATGAAGTTACTGCGTTGTCGGTATATCTTCCTGTACGACCGCACGGATATACGAGAGTCGCTTCTCGCGGAACAAAAATCGTTTTACCGCGGGTCATTTCGGTGCTCGACATGCGATGTATCAAATGGTACGATTATTTCTGATCGAATGAAAAATAGCAAATCGTTTTTTCTTTTTTCCTGTAGATTTCCGATGCACCGTATTTACAGTTGACACGAATTGGAGCAGACTTTTCAGTCTTTAGAAGGAATTTCTCTAGAATCCTGTTGCTGTTCATTTATTCATTTAATTTAATTCCAAGGACATCGTATTTGCGTCTTTCTTCGATTTAATTACATCCTTGTTTAATTTTGAAATCTTGATAAGTCAGATTGGAGATAAGCAGAGTTCTGAGTAAATCGTATTAACGAAAATCGTATAAGCAAATAGTCAATGTAAATATAATTTCGCGTTGCTCATTTTATATGCTCGCCGAATAATTTTGTGCATATTTTATATAGTAAATAAATGCGTGCCAGAGCTCCATGCGTACGCATTGATCGAGAACCGTGAAAGGAACAATGATTGTAAAGGTGCGTTTTCATGCAGCGAATAGAAAATTGACGCTACGCGACACCTCAACGTGACGATCATCTTGCGAGAACTCGCGAGAAACTGACATACTTCAGCTAGTTTCGAACATTCGCATTTACTCGCGAAAGTACTACGTGACGTCTATTCGCTGCATGAATTCGCAGTTTAATTCTGCACTCGTGAAACCATAAAATCGAAAATAATGAAGAAATTACAAGTTTTATTGAACAGGTTTACAAGTGACAAAATCATTGTAATTGACCTCTTTGGCACTATGCGCCACTATAGTGGCTTTCGCAGATGTCATCTTCCTGTACGACGCGCCACTATAGT